GCTTTGGAGAAGAGCAGGAAGCAGGTGGGGAAACTTCTGTCTTCCATAAGGCCACAGGATTTTCCTAACTAAATTAACCATAGAAGTAATTTTACATGTGTCTGTCCTCTTTATATAAAGAATTATACATGGAACCCTGAAACCTTTTAAAGTATAGACCTTAGGGCTGGCTGGCTGGCTCAGTTGGTCCGAGCCAAGATCAAGGGTTCGGATCCCCATACCGGTTAGCTGCCAATCAATCAATCAATCAAGTATACAAACCTACACATACGCTAGGCATCCAAAAAAAAAGGTTTATGTGGAATGAGAGGGAAAACACACTTAATCCTTACAGTGAATCTTTGATTATGTAGCTTGAATGTGGCAACAACCTCTGCGGAGAATACCAGAGATGGCACTGTGTATATGTGAAATTGTTTCCAATCCCAGTTGCCCCCAATTTTCCTCCCTTTTTGAGCAGTTCTGCTTTTCTCAGCCCATGTCCTCACAGCTGTCTGCTACAGGACGGACTGTACACCATACACTCCATCGGGGAGCTGGTTAACGTGGACTCCCAGCTTCCACTCAGAGCTTCTGACTTGATCTTAGGCTGGGTTCACACAGTGTATGTTTCTGGTATCAGGGTGCACCAAACTATTGCTGTGTGCACCTAATGCTTTGGTTGTTTACCATCCAACACTAGCATCTAAGATGACAAGGCAAAATATTTCCTTCACATACACATCTGCAGAGGTACCATTTACATTTCACAAAGCCTCAGACTGATTAATCTCTCCACAGATAAGTGACCCCAGGCAAACCCAAGAGAATTAACTAAAAAACATGCTAAGGGGAACCCAGTAAAGGGACTGAACACAAAATGACTGTACAAAACCCAAAAGCTTTTTAACATACCAACTATAACTAGTTAGAAGGACAATACAGTGTAGCAATTCAGATACTAGTTCAAATTTCAGAGCTGCTACTTACCAGCTGTGGGAACTAGAGCACATAACCTCTGTGAGCATCAGTTTGCCAATCAACAAAATGGGTAGTTATTCACCACTTCACAGGATTAATGTGAAAATAATTTCTTAGTAAGGTACATAACACATAGTAGTATCAGCTATTTTTATTGAAAGACATAATGGTATGAATTTTGGTGATTCCCAGAATTGAAAGTTAGCTATCTTGGCTATAATAGGCAATAACTACTCCTCTTTAGGAACACTCCAGCCAGGATGACAAGCTTACAGGGCTTTATACCGTTGCATTTTCATATCAGCCTGGTGGGTGGAGCAGGCTTTTGTTTAAAACATAAGCATGCTCCTTGATGGATGGATGTTTCTGGGACAGCAGTGATACCTGATGTTGACAAGCGTGGAGCTGACATTTCGAATCTTCATCGGGATGGCAGACCCTGTTCCGAGGAAGATGATTTCTGGATACTGGCTTCTTTTCTCTGTGGAAAGACACAAGTAAAATCATACATTCCTTTGGGTCAAAAGTGAGCCAACATTGAGCCCTGAGAGGGGTAAGCAACACTGTGAAGTCCAGCTTCCCTGCAGGGGCTGGTGGGCCATGGCCAGCCGCCCTTCCATGGAGGGCTCCTTGTCAGGGTGAGACCCTCAGGATGTCTGCAAGGAGAGGGCTGTCTGGGAGGGAGAGCAAATACGTTCTACAGTCTTTTCTTCAAAAGAACTGTTCTAATTATTTTAAATAAAGAAAAGGGGACTTCTTTATGCTGTGAGTCATCATTTACTTCAAGAGGGTGGTGTCTACGTTGCATCCAACTCTTACTACAAGCTTGGGCCGGCTTCCGGAGATGCGAGTCTGGGAGACATCATTTGACTAGATTAAAACCCCAAACCTGCTTTGTAGTCCAGTGTTCTCTATCACTAGTTCAAAATAACAAAGACAAGAGCAGAGGTCACAAAGTTCCCTAACTACTATTCGTGAAGGGGCCAGTGAACCCAACAAGGTGAGTGGCTTGGCCAAAATCTTCCATGGATGCTTATTAACAGATCCAGGCCTGGATCCCAAGTCAGCCAAATCCCTGCTCAGAGCCCTCCCCGACAAAGTCTCACAGGTGTCCCCCAGCCGATTCACTCAGCATGTGTCTTGTAAAAAATGCCTGGCACTGCTAGGAATGCTCTGACTTAAATGGCCTGGGATATGGCGTGGGCACTGGGATTCTTAAACTCCCCCAATCCCCTTCCCCAATGACTATGATTCTAATGTTGAACCAGAGAAGGAAAGCCCTGGATTAAATAAATAAATAGCGTATGCCCCATTGACCCTCTACTTGACACTATGAAAACACCTGCAGGTGGGCAGAGTCCAGGAAAGAAGTGCTGCTTGGGGGTCTTCCACTCACCTGCTGGGGCTGGGCCATCCTGCACATGCTTCCTACATTCCTGAATGCTCTCCTGGAAATTGGGCAGCTCCAGGGCCTCTGCTATAAATTCATCTGGATTGCAAGTGACAATGGCATCCCTGCAGGGAGAGAAGCATCTCAGGTGACCAGAGCGGGCATTATCACCTCAGCAAACAACAATTTGAATGTCCAGAATAAATTCATGGGACAATATGCAGAAAGTTCTTTCAAATCAAGGCTAAGTGACCAAGATCCGGGGTGGTTCTGTTCTTCCGCCTTTTGGCTTCTCAGCTAAGTGTGGGCAGGGGGAGGACACTTCAGAGCGAGTTCTGATAGCTTTAGCTCCTCCATGACATCTCTGGCCTCAAAGCCTGACAGCTGGCACTACTGATTGTTCTTTCTCTGTGGTGGGGGTTGTCCTGTGTAGCATCCCTGACCTCCACCCACTAGCACCACTGCACCCTGTGTGACAACTAAAAATGCCTTCTGGCATTGCCAAATGTCCCCTGGGGTGGGGGAAGGCCCCAGGTGAGAAACAGGGACTCTCAAACTAACATGCACACAGCTCATCGCCTGGGAGCCTTGTCAAAATGCAGCACCCAATCTGGTAGCTCCAGGTGGAGCCTGAGAGCCTGCATTCGCAGCAAGCCCCCAGATGGTGCTGATGCTGCCTGTCCGGACGGCACTGAGAAGCCAGGCCTTGGGCAGGTGGCTCTTCAACCTGGCTAAGCATTAGAACCACCTGGGAGCTGGGGATGTGAGTCCCAAGCCTAACTCTCAAGATTCCAATTTAGGGGCCGGCCCCGTGGCACACTCGGGAGAGTGTGGCGCTGGGAGCACAGTGACACTTTCACCGCGGGTTCGGATCCTATATAGGAATGACTGGTGCGCTCACTGGCTGAGCGTGGTGCGGATGACACCACACCAAGGGTTGCGATCCCCTTACCTGTCACGAAAAAGACAAAAAAAAAAAGATTCCAATTTAGTAGGTCTGGGGCAGGCCCAAGAATTGTATTTTTCCCAAGCACAAGGTGAAGCTGAATACTGACGAGGTGTGTTGATCACTGCTGCCTGTGCCGATGCTGACAAAGGGACAGCAGGCTCTTTAACCCGACAGTTGCCCATGCACCCGAGTCATGCTGCCACAGTCTCTTAAAGAGCCCTAACTATTGTACAATAGCACAGTACCCAGTAAGAATCCGGAGCATGGTCTAACATGACACGGTGGAGTAGACAGGAAACACAATTATTCAAGATTCAGATCTTACAAACTGAAATAAGAGATGCGAGACAGTGAGCATGTTTCACTGAACTGGCTGGTGTACTGTTAGGGGCTTTCTAGATGGCAATTTAAATTTATCAAGTATCTTAAGAAATGTCACACTCTGACCATATAATCCCACATTTAGGAGTTACGTTTAGGGAACAAAGCTCCATGCAAAGATTCATACACAAAACATGCATTGCTTCATTAAAACAGCAAAAAAACTGGAAACATCCCAAACAGGTGAACATCCCTATCTGAAATACCAATACAACTCTTATTGCTAAAAACTACTTAATGTTACAGGAAAAGACTGACAGTGTCAGGCCATAAACCCACATATACATTTTTACAAATACATCCCCATATGCACAAATTAAAAAAACACAAAACATCATTATCTCTGGGTGACAGGATTATGGGTAAATTTCTTCATTATACATTTATTTTCTATGTTGTAAAACAAACACTATCACTGTTATTTCCATGGAAAACAGTTTTAGAAAAGGACCATCACTGGTCCCGATCCACCCCTCTCAACCCAGACTAGGGTCAGACTGTTTTTCTAAATCAACCCGTACCAGCCCACAGCCATACGCAGCCCCATGTGTGTTGTCTACAGCTCTCCTGTGCTACAACTGCACGGTTAAGTGGTTGCGGCTGTTTTTCTAAATCAACCCGTACCAGCCCACAGCCATAGGCAGCCCCATGTGTGTTGTCTACAGCTCTCCTGTGCTACAACTGCACGGTTAAGTGGTTGCGATGGAGACCACGTGGCCCCAAAAGCCTCCTAAAGCTCTCACTCTTCAGCCCTGTACAGACAGATGCGCTTGCCCACCCCTGTCCCAGAGGACTCCATCAGCTCAGCCCCACAGACCTCTGCCACTCCCTCCTGGGACGGAGCTGGTACTTGAGCAGGCACTCCGCCCGAACCGTGGGCACGCTGAGGGCTGGCCCCTCTTTCTGAAACAGACACAAACGCACACCATGGAGAGAAAGAAAGGGGTGGGGACTGAGCGGGATGGGGACTGAGCGAGCCGGGGACCGCTCTGTGACCCTACCTTGCAGAGGACACTGGCGAGTGGGGGGAAGATGTCCGGGTGGATGAGGTTGAGCTGTGTTTGAATCTTGTGGCTGCGCAGGTTGTGAACAGACGCACAAGTCTCATTCAGGATCAGGTGCTGGGTGTTGGGCCCGAATCTGAGATGAAACAGACAGCAAGTCCACTTACCTGTCCGGGAGGGAACGATTCCATCTACGGGGCAGCACCGGGGACCAGATTGGTAACGTCGAGGGACGTGTTAGAAGACTTCAGCGCCCTGCCCAAGAACGTTACCAAATGGCCCACACAACCCCCTGCCTCAGCTGGGCGAGTGTGGGAGGAGCGGTGGGAAAACGAGAGAAGTTAAGGTGTTCGGGGCCTCCGGGTAGATGTGGAGACAATGGGGCCTGGGGTAGAAGAAGAAAGGGCGGAAGAGGAAAACGGATCATGGATTTGTGAAGACTCAACCCTAAGAAACCAGAGGAGGGCAGCGAAGAGCAAGCGCCTGCCTGCCTGCGGCGCAAGGCGGCCGCACCCCCAGGTCCCCGTGTGCCCACCAGGGCTCAACCCTGACGCCCCCATCATGTGCCGGCCCCCGCCAGGGCAGCCCCGAGGGAACGTCAAGTCCCTGTCCTGTGGGGCAGTAAAGCGACAGATCGCCCGCCTCCCGGGGCTGCGGGGCAGATAAACTGGAGCAGAGGAAACGGCAAGTACAGCACTTCATGTACTGCCCGACGCTAGCGCGCGTTCAGCGAGCGGAAGCGATCGTTTTATATCTGCAAGTCTCTTCTTTAGAGGATGCACGGAGCCATCCCCACAAAGGCAGCCCTGGTTCCCACACGAGACCGTGAGGGTGTGAATGACACGGCATCGAGCCCTGCAAGGGGCCGTGTCCCACTGCGCCACCTAGTGGCGGCTTCCGTCCCCAGCGTGGCACAGACAGGCGCTCCCAGTCAGGAGGGTCGCAGGCCCAGAGGAAGTGGGCAGGTGCAGAAGGAAGGGGAGGTGGCACTTAAAAGAGGGAGACAAGAGGAGAGTAAGGAAGGCACCACTGCCCAGGAGAGTGGCTCGTGTGCTGCTGGGCTGGGCTCCATACCTCTCCATCCACTGCTGGTACCTGCTGTCCACAAGCACAGACTCTGGGGCCATGTGAGCTACGAGGGCCACAGGGGCATCAGCCTTTCCTTGGTACCTGCGTGGAAGAAGAGTAGGACTTTGCTTTATAAAGTGATACAGACTCAGGATACACACAAATGGGGACTGTGCAGGGGGTGGGAGGGTGCACGCAGTGAGCCAACCACCTTCATGCCCAGGCCGTGCCCTCTCTGGGCTGCACCCAGCAGTGCCCAAGAATGATGGGCCCCAGCACTGGGCCATTTCCACCCAACAGGGGATTCTTCTATCCGGCAAGCTGTGCTCTGGGCCTTCCAGCTGGCTGAGCTGAGCTTTTCTCAGCACTGTGCTGCAGTCTGAAGCTCCTCCTGTCCTCTCCTTCACAAGGGTCAAACCTACAAAGCAGGACAAAGGCTCCCCCTGCCTGTTCCTGAGCTCTCTCTCCTTTATGTCTCACAGCATTTCCCCTAATAAATCTCCTGCACCTCCCATTCCACTGATATAGGAGGTGCTCAGTTTCCCTGGGCTCTGGTTATGGGACATGCCTCTGGGTTATAGGCCATTCCCTGAGGTCGCAGGTCCCTCCTGAAAGCCCTTCCCTAGAAGAAAGTTACTGTTGCCAGTGAGACCTATTTGCAGCACCAATATGGGGAAAATGAAACCACAAGAGGCTGGTTTATGCCAATCCAGTGGTTAGGCATGCTCAGCACAGATGGGTTATGTAACCCTGATGGTCAGGCATGCTCTGTAAAGTGGACAGTGAGACCTATTTGCAGCACCAATATGGGGAAAATGAAACCACAAGAGGCTGGTTTATGCCAATCCAGTGGCTAGGCATGCTCAGCACAGATGGGTTATGTAACCCTGATGGTCAGGCATGCTCTGTAAAGTGGAGTTGATCCTCTGAACGACTTTCCACTAGAGGTGCTATAGAGCACAGAACATTCTTGAATATGCCAGGTGCATGTGACAGGATTTGACCAATAAACATACTCCAGGACAGTACCAACTGAGCACGTGTGAGACTAATGTTACACAACTGGGAACCACCCTCTTAATTGAATATTCATTAGGTAGCGAATCTATAAAAGCTGAATCCCAACAGAAGGTGGGGTAGCTGCTCACTTTTCTGGAGGCAACCTGCACTCCACGGGCTGAGGTGTGTATATTTTACGTTGTATCAAACTTGCTTTCAGCAAGCAGCTGCTCACTCTTGAACTAGCCTGCACTTTGTACTGAATTTTAAGTATGTTTTTTTGCTTTTGTGTTAAACTTGGTGTGGGTCCTGCTCAGTCTGGAGCTATGCACCACTCTGTGGAACCTGTGTTTCTTATCAAACTTGTTCTCACTTTCTACTGTGACTCTGCACTTGAATTCTTTCCTGTGGCGGAGTCAAGAACCTGGTAAGACAGGGTGGGTTGAGGCCGACTATAGCGTGCTCCCACCCCCCCACCCCCAGACCCTACCTCTGACATCACCACCTTGGTTTCTGCCTTCCAGGGGATCCAAAACACATGTAAGGAAAATGAAAATTGTCTGAAATTCCACCAACTAGAGAAGACGCTTACTAACATACTGATGTTTCCTTCCAGTTGCCTTAAAAAATACAGTACCTGTTTTGATCTATCCCCACCACAACCATCACACGCATGCATGTGGCTCTCAAACACGTCAGTCAGCGACTTGCAGTATCTTTGCTGCACAAAACATGATTGAAAACACAAAGTCTGTGCCATCAGGGTACCTAAATTCACCCACATAGAATAAAGTGGACCCAGGAAGAACCACAACACTCTAACTCAGAAGGAGTACAGCAGCCCAAAGGATTTGTTGTATAAGTAGAATAAAAGAGTAAGTGAAAAAACACAGATAGATAAAAATTAGGAACAGGAAAAATACAGATAAACCATTAAGAAAAAGAGAAAAATTAAAACAGGTATGTGGGTCAAAGATTCTGCCCAGGATTAAAGCCGAACTGCAAAACTGGTTAACTTTTTTGGAGGACAAAACAGAATGGTACTCAGGCCTGAAAGACGTTCCCAGGCTGAGATTCTGTCCCTCAACGCAGACCCTTGACCAAGACGGTCTCAAGCACTCTGCAATGAGGTAAGCGAAAAAGTTCATTTAAAAGTAATCCAAATGATAACTGGAGGCATCAATCAGAACTCAAGAAAGTTCTGGAATTTATTCTAGACTTAGAACTCTAAGAAGCCATTGATTTTCTAGTCCTCAGTGGCTTCTGGTTTTCTATCTTTTCTAATTTCACTTCAAGGCTGTGTATACTACAAAGCCCACCAACTACCAAGAGCGATGAAAACCCTGCCACTAGGACTAACCCACAGGGAGGAGACCAAGCCTCCGCATTTCAAAGCCAGACAACGGGCTTTCCCAGACACGGGGCTCTAGCCACAAGATGTCATGGGTGCTGGGCTGGGCTTCCTGAGCACTGTGTCGGCTCTCACTTCTCCCGCTCCAGAGACCCCCTCATTACCTCTTAAAGGTAGCATTATCACAGATGGGTTGAATGAATCCTTCATCTGGACATTCCACCACCACAAAAGCAAGACCAGGATCTGGAGGAGTACAGATCTCTTCAGGCAAAATCTGCAAAATGAAATATGCCAGCTCATTGGCATCATGATGCTACACCAAAAAAGAGTCACAGCCTGGCAACCGGACTGAACCACCTTCAAGTCAACAACTAACATCACATCCCTATCCAGCAAGCCTGAAGGAAGTAAACAGAGCACAAAACCAACTTTAAGTATCACAACCTATGCCCTTCCTCTCTCTGTTTATACTTAAATAGACAGACAGCTAGCTTGCAAAGACATTTTAAAGCTATAGTGGCCGGGAAACCAGGCTTGGCATTCAACATTCTCTTCAGTCTGTGGCCACTGGTCCTAACATCCTAAGATGCCAGAAAAGTCATCCTGATAAAGAACACAGTGGCATTTCTTTGGGCCATGCACCCAAAGCCCATCTGCTGTGGGTTGATTGAATTTTGTCCCCCAAAGTTCATATATTAGAAGCTTAATTCCCACTGTAATTGTTGAGGGTAGAAAGTCCTATTATGGTAATTGAAAGGTGGGGCCTTCACGAGGTGATTAGATTGTAGAACCACAATGAATGCCACAGCGAATGGATTAAAAATGGATTAAGAATGGTGGTCAGGGGCATAGTTCTGAGGGCTTTAAAAGGAGAGCACATGAACAGTCTCACTCTGCTCTGCCATTTTCTGCCAGTGAGACCCCTAGGTCACTGTCAGCACCACCAAGGCCTTCACAAAATGTGTTCCCTGGACTTTGGACTTCCCAGCCTCTGAAACTATAAGCAATAAATTTTGCTTTCTTGCAAATTACGAGTTCCAGGTATTTATCATAAACAACAGAAACGAGCTAATATACCATCCATATGGGGTCTGTTGTTGGACACTGCCCTGAGCCCAAGTATTAGGGAAAGCATCCATCTTTTTAGAAGGACGACCACCAGATCATAAATGGACAACCTACAGAAATACCCAAACACAGCCAGACATGCAGGACCAGTCCAGACAGGAGATCCCATTTTATCACTTAGTCAATTGATGGACTTCCAATCTGTTCCAATTCCTTCAAAAGTGTCCGCAGGCCTAAGCCAGACAGTGACTCTGTCCACTATCCCAGGCTCTACCTATAAGTGCTGAATCACCATGAACACCAGGCATCTCACCTCTCTGCCTTCATAGGTGACACTTTTCCCATCCTTGACAGCAGTAATGATGGGAGCAATGGCAGCCGTCCCGCTGAAATGAAGAGGCAAGCCCTCTATGAGACGCATTTCTTTATGAACAAAAGAGTACCCATGGGTCCCCAACCACCTCGTCCCCCAGCACTCACACTGGGAGGCCCAGCTCCTTTGCTTTGAGCACCAAGAAGTTTCCTTTTCTTACATGAAGCTGCAACAAAGAGAACATAAATGTAATTTCAGTGGCTAATGAAGAAGCTTGGTTTTAATCAATTTTCTTAGAAGTGTATCTTCCCTTTAAAAAAAAATTGTTATTTTCTTATAGTTCATTAAAATGCAGTTTATGGATTTCAGGAGGTATGCTATGTTCTGAAGAAGTCATTCATTTTGAATTGCTTTAGTACTAAAAGCCAAATGATTTAAAACATAGTGCTCTAGGTCCTAATGTTAACTGGAGGAGCAGACAAACTGCTCAGGAAACCCAACCCAACATAAATTTAATAAAATGTAACTCATTTCCACATTAAAATTAGTTATAAGTATCTTTGAGTAGAAACACTGTTCTATCATTCCATGCTCATCAAGTAATAGCTAAAGGAATGTCACCAGAACAACACTGTCTGACATAGCAGTGACCAAGCAAATTGCTGTGTACACAATATTCCGGTGACGCTGACTGGTAACAGAAGGTGAATGAAAGGGGCTTTTTCCACCCCCTCCTGTAGTTTTCAAATAGTTGGCAGTACAGTGCCATTGCTTTTATACTGGGGAAAAATTATAGTAAAAAATTCCTAATATCCTCTTAGAACAGGAAAGAATAATTTTAACATAAAACCTCATAATCATTATTCTATACTTAAAACAAACTTCGACCTACATATTTCACACACATGAACAGAAAAAAGTAAGAAATGGCAAAATATGTTAATAAGTCTTTGAGTATTGAATTATATCTTATTTTCATTTTTTTCTTTAAATTATTATAAACTATTTGCATTTTCTCTTAACTTCCTGAAGTTAAGAAATTACTCTTAGGGCCAATTCTCAAATTTTAATCCCAAAGTCTTATTCTCAGGATTGCAGAATTTTCCATCTTAAAAATACTGTCCTATTGGATTCCCATGCTGGCCAGCTGCCAAACAAAGAAAAGAAAAGAAAAGTGCTGTCCTAAAGAAAGGATTACAGCTTTAGCGTGTGCACATCACACGAAGATGATAAAGTGCAGCTGGCATCTTTAGATAATGACATTAACAAGCACTGTCGTGACCAAACACTCTGACCACACACCCACATGGGCTTGAGGATGGAAACTAAACATTTCTAATGTTTAAAAGGAACTTGCAGATCTAAGGCAGGGGAAATGCACCTCTCCAGGAGCTGAGTTCAGCCCATGGAGATCTGGTCCTGTCTGAGGAAGGCAGATTACAAGAACCAGAATGCAAGCTGACGAGGCCCCAGGCAGACCAACGACTGTCCAGTGTTCTTCTACCAGATGAGTTTCTCAGGCCCTTGGGCCCAGAGCCTATTTTCTCCCACTTCCCAGAAGTTGAACTAGCTCCACTTACTGTTTTCCAAACCCTCAGCTGAGAAGCAGCACATTAATGAGAAGAGGGAAAGGGGCTACCGGGCCCAGAGCCTATTTTCTCCCACTTCCCAGAAGTTGAACTAGCTCCACATACTGTTTTCCAAACCCTCAGCTGAGAAGCAGCACATTAATGAGAAGAGGGAAAGGGGCTACGGGCTGACCCATGAGAGCAGCCCCAGAAGTGGCAGCAGACAGTGAGAGAGGAGGCA